AGTCTGTGGTTCGTGAGCAGAAGTTGGTTTTTTGTCGCGTTTGGCGTTAGTCTCCATTTATAAAACCATGTCATTGTGTTGTTTGTTAGTGTTTGAAGTCTTTCAGTCGCTTTTTATTTCTGCAATAAACATTGATTTCTTATGATCGCAAGCTCATACTTCTGGCTCCTAAAGGTTTGAATGAGCCAAAAATTCTTAAGGATTTAACGAAAAAGGCAAAGAATTTGAGGTATTTTGAGAGACTCAATTTTTTTTCAGATTTTACAACTCGTTTTTTTGCCCTCTTGGAATGTTTCTGACCTAAGAAGCTGCCCAATAACGAATATAATTTTTTTGGTCTGTTATAAGGAAGATATCGCCGGTGAAGATTGCGACTGTCCAAAAACCGCTCAAAATAGACAGAAAATGTTGATTATTTCGGATCTGGAAACCCCTTAGTGTTTTTTCATAAGCTTGTTGAATTCTCCGCCTGTTTCCGGTGAAAATGATGTAGAGTTTGAGGTATTTTGAGACACTTGAATTTTTTTGGTAAAATCGACCTCTTGGTCCCCCGTTATAAAATTTTCAACCAAAAATCTAAATTTCACGACTGTGTTTTTGCCCTCATTGGAATTTTCCGACCTAAGAAGCGGCCCAATAAGGAATATTAAGTTTTTGGATCTATAATAAGGAATATATCGCCGGTGAAACGGTTCGAAACCGCTCAAAAAGACTCAAAATGGACAGAAAATGTTGATTATTTCAGATCTGGAGAATTTATCCTGTTTTTAATGACTTCGTGGTAGTGGAAAAAATGTAGAGCTTGAAGCTTTTTGAAAGTTGAATTTTTCTGCTCAAATCGACTTCACCGGCTTAAAAGTGCTAATGAAAACCTACAGCGACCCCCGTAAACAAACCGAAAAAATTTGACTTTAAGAGTAGAAAACTAAAAATAAACACAATGGCTTGGACGAGACTGAAGCAATTTTTTTTAAGTACGCAACAAAAATTTCAGAGGGCAGCATCTACACGAAAATAAACAATAATTAGGTTTCCTTTAATACCTGGTGTGGATGCAGTCAATGGGATTTCCAACATACTGTCTAGTGGTGATGATGATGGTCAAAGTCACCAAAATCACCACAGTTGCTTTGGTGTGAAGGCGGAAGATCAACGACTCTCTGGTTATGGTGCTGGTCTATAAATAAACACACAAATTTCATTAACAGTGAGTTTGTGGTGGACAAAAAATCAACAAAGAATCAATCTAGAACTCTCTTGTCAATGAGAGATCGAAAAAATTGCGCGCTTATTTACAGCCTACTTCTGGCAGAGGAGCATGAGCAGGAAGGCCAAAAAACCCACAGTTATTAGTAAGTCCAAAATTGAGTGAAAAGTTGCAAAAAAACCCGGAAAAATTCCTTTAACCCGAAATTGGGGAGCGATAAATCAAACCCCAGTATATTTACGCGTTGCGGCAAAAATGAATTATGGAAATATAAATCGCGTCTATCGATGTTTATTTTCGTTTGATCAAACAAAGCGCGCATCAATCGGCTGCCAAAAATTTAAAAAATTCAATCACTACCAAAATAGCAGAAAAAATTGAGCAGTTTTCCGCTCAAAAATGCCACTCACCTGCGTAAGAGTGTAAAAGGTCCGAAGCAAATCCATTACTCTAAACCCTTCTTGGCTGGTGCGTCTTCTGCGTAATGGTAGGCTGAAATTGGGGCGCCGCCTGCTCAGTTTCGTCCTCAATGAGGGCAAATGATATGGATAGGTTTTGTAGAATGGTCGTTTTCCAAATGGTGCCTGTTCTGATCTGGCTCGCCCCATTTGGCAACTGGATTGGCTGGGAAACGCTCAGCAGCATCATCGGAAGCCACCTGATCATATTTCTTCTTGACAATCATTCGATTAACTTAATGAGGCAGAAGCAGACTGAGGAGGATTTCTTTTTATTTATTTATTTATGTGCACTTTGGATTTTATTGGGCTTTCTAGGTCAATGTACAACTAAAAATAACCGCCCGATGGAGTAAACATTTGGAAAAAGGCACACTTCCGCATTTAAGACTTAGAGTGCCTCAACCCGCCGACACCATCAGACCTTTTTCCTCGAAACGTAGTACAATACTTACTGTACTAGTAGTTGGCGGTGGTTTCGTGTCACCTGATCCTTATGGGCGTCAAGGCAACGACTCAAAAACTGTCAAAAAACCGGTCAAAAACTGTCAAACACTTGTCAAAAGGAGCAAACGGCCGCCTGGTCGGAACCAAGGCAAAACAAATGACTGAGCGCGACTAACAATTGACCGATGAAACCGTTTGGCTATTTTGGACGCGCTTGATTTGACCGACTGGAAATGATGGTTTTGTCGTAATCCGGACGGTTTCGGCATTTTGTTGCAAAACAATCATTCGGGTTTGATTAACGGAAAATTGCGGCCGGAAAATTGACCAGGGGCGTAGCGCCAGAGTCCAACTGAACGCCTGGAGCGCGCCCAGCACCCAAAAATAACCACAGCCGATATACAAATGTGTTTTCTTTTCATTTCATTTAAGTGCCAACTACTCTGGATATTTGGAAATTGATTCCCCAGTGTGTTTGTTTATGGATGCTTAACAGTGGCGGCGTGGCGATTTTTCGAATGTGAAAATCGCTTGTTTTTTATTCACGTCTTATGTACATAAAACTGAAACAAACCCACAAGTTCAACCGCAAGTGGACCAACCAAAAGAGCGAAAAATGCCTATCAAGCTTTTAGTTTTTGCAAAGGCAAGAGATAATCGGTTTAATTTGCTTCCGGTTAAAAAACGCCCTCTGACACTCGGATTCGAAACCGAATCTGAATTAATTCACGCAGTGAAGTAGAAGAACATTTCCTTTCCAACAAGCCCTTTCCAAAATTGCCTATTTAGGAGGCTCCACATCGGAGTTCCAGGTCTTTTTAACTTTCCGAAAGCAGCTCAGAACCTTGCGATTAATGATACATTTTTAGAGCATCAGCAAGCGAAGCTTAAAATCTGCAAATTTCAAATCTCCACCGGAATTCCCCCAGTAGAAAACCGTCCCTGATTACCTGAGTGGATCTATTTCCACCCCCAATTAAACAATTACTTTATTTTTCCACAACAACGTTTCGCATTACATGCAATCCATCAATAAACCCCCAGTTTAGTTCGAGTTTCAGCTGAATCAAGTGCTTAGTTGAAATGGCGCACTATTCGGCCGTAGTGTTGACTCTGAACAACGTGTTTATTCTGTTCCCGCCAGTCAAAGGCAGCAGTTCACGTTGTTTCGCACTGTTCCGGTGCTTTTCCTGGCTATTTCTAGCTTTTGCCGCCATAACGGGTGGCCCAATGTCCATCATCATCAAGGACCAAGTTTTTAGCAATGTGGCCACTATTCATAAGGTCATCTACGATGTATCGGCCATGCTGCTCTTCATTACCAACATTTATTTATCGGGTGTTTCCATTCTGAGGCATCGCAAACTTTCGCAGCTACTGGAAGACGTTCTGGTAGACATCAGCAATGGATCCACGTTTCTGATCAATTTTGCTGCCTTCATCCTCATCCACCTGGTCAACACCTTGTTCATCCTGGTAACCCAGCTGGAAAGAACTGACAACATCTGGTACCAGATGACTATTCTCTTTGTTGATGGCTACATGACCTTTCGGGTGATCACCGGGCTCTTCATCATTTTTCTCATCATCAATGATGCGAAGAACAAATTGGCCGAGTTGAATGAGAAATTGCTTAGATCCACCACTGCCACCTCCATCCGGCATTGGCGTTACCGTCACAACAATCTTTGCGATCATCTGCACAACATCAATAGTCTTTTCGGCGTTGTTCTGCTGCTGATCATCTTCTACTTCATCACGACGTTTCTACGGCATGCCGTATTCATCAGTGTCCATTCTGAGGCCAATCTGGTGGTGGCAGTGCGATGTCTATGGATTATCTCTTATGGGGTAAGGCTAGAAAATTTGCAGATTTGTTTGAGGCTTTAAATAAGGAGTTTAGAGAGCAGAACAGATGGCGAGATTTTAAAAAATCAGATGGAGGTTATGGAGTCATCATGTGGAAAAGCAGGAGCATCCGCAAAAATTTTTCGGCATCAGAATTTCTCGTTCTGAAAATTTAATCAATTGAAAAAATGAAAAGTGTCTGAAACCCCATTATTTTCCCCCACATTTTTCTTGTTTATTCTTGGAACGACTAACAATGTTAGCCCATTGCCGCTTAATTACGCAAAACATGAACACGATGTTCCAAATGTAAATATTAACCCTGTTAACTGCTCTATCGATGTTGTAACGAGAAATTTACCTCGATTACTTGCCGGAAAAAAAATTGATGACCGAGTTTTCCAAATAAACTGAAATCGTCAAACTGCTGAGTTTTTCAGCAAACCGGCAAAACATTCACAAGCATTTTATTTTCGTAATTAGCCGGTTTCGAAAGACTGAACTTTGCTGGGAGAGTTTGGCGACGGCCGTCTCAATACGAAGATTTCACTGATGTCTGTCCTTGTCAGGGCATCCGAACAGTGCAATAAACAGAGCGCGGGAGTTTTAACGCGCCCTCTTCGTTACTCCCAGTGCCAATTGTGTCTGTTTTTCTCTGCGGCATTGCATCACCATGCCCCAGGGTGGGAAGGGCAATCCTAGACTGCCCCAGATTATGCAAGTCGAGAAAATTTCAGCGCTTTCAATTTTTAGTACATTTCAATCCCATGAACAGGTGAGGTTCTTGGACTCGTACAAGTAACTTTAGACTTTTCAGTTTCAAGCAATCTACTTGGGGTATATGGGTGAGCAAATAGTGAAGGAATCGCAAAAAACCGTCGCCATTGGCTACAAGCAAATCTGCCAGTGGTCCCGCTTGAAGATTCCCGACCAATCGAGCGAGATCTTCCTGCTGACGCAGCAGGCCTTCAACCGGATCACCCGAATATCGGCGGCCGGATTCTTCAACGTCGATAACTCCATGATTCTCTTCATCTTGACGACGTTCTTCACATATTTCATTGTAGTCACTCAGCTGATGGCCGGAGGAAGAAAACCTACATAGTTTAATAAATTTCTATTTACAAGCCATTGTATGTATTAAAAAGCGATATAGCTTCATCGTAGACGTATGATTTGGCATCGATTGCAAAGGCAAAATCGATGTGGTTCCAAAGACTATCCTCGACCAACATGGCTGTTGCGCTTGGAATTTCCGAGATTAATCGCGTATAATCCTGGAAATAACTGGAATTAAAGCCACCATTCAATGGAAATTGTGGGCAAAAGTTCTTCTTACCAACGCTCCACTGAAGTAGTCGTTCGCGCCGTACCAGATATAGATGGAAACGTCGTCAATGTCCGCCAAATCGTAGTAAGGAGGTTCCGTCTGATTATATGCCAACTCGTTGTTGTCCCGATAGTCGTATTTGCGAAATTCGCCTGGAAATTGTAGGAATTTAAACAGTTCAGGGAAGATTAGAACGGGACTTACTGGTTCTGGCCACTTGCAGGTAATGGATCACCTGTTTGAAGGCTCCTCCTGCTGGATCCGTCGATGCCATCACGGTGATCATTGACTGAAAGAATTTGCTTTTATTTGCAGGTAAATGTGAGGAGAAGTAGGCGGAAGGTGGACAAGGATTTAATGGAAGGCATTCGTGAAACTTCTACCGCTCCTGTTTGGGCCTTAGGAACTTGTCCTCCCATGGTCCTCTGAAAAATTGCTCACCGTATTCAGTTGATTGGGATCGGGTCCAGCAAGATCTCCAAAGAGCTCCACACACACATCAATTGCCGCGGAATCTCGATGGCAAAACAGAACCGCCAGTTGTAGGTAGATGGGGTTGCTCGTTAGAATCCCCTTGTTCAATCCCAAATCGGCAAAAGCATCCTGAAAACGAACTCAAAGCTCAATCAGCTCAACTCCGCAGAGGAAAACCTGCACACATCAAGCTCTTCTTCATACTCCTTGAGCACATCGAAGAAGGGCAATTGACAATAATCCATGTAGACAACAGGGGCGAAAAGATTGGCGACGGTCACTCGGGTGCGATATTCGGGCCTTGTGGCCGCAAAGACCACAAAAGCAGTACCACCCTGCGAGTGTCCGACGAAGGAAACGTTGGTCAATCCTGTAAGGTTCTGGATGTAGTCCATGTTTGCTGGAATATCGTAGTAGCCCACTTCATGCCAGCTGTAAATTAATAACAGTTCATTATCCAGCCAGATAATGGGAAAGTTTTCTTTCCGGGTCTAGCAACCTGAAGTTCCAATAAGCAACCGAATCGGAGCTGAGATTGGTGTGGCCCAAGCTGTAGGTGTTTCCTCTGCTAGCCATTAGGAAGACATCGTATCCTTTTTCGGCTAAAAGGAACCCGATGGATTCGTCGCCTTTAGTGATGAGATCCTTCGGATTGCTCCAGATGCCATGCAGAAGCAGTGCAACCGGTTTGGTAGTGTTGGAGTCGGAAGATTCGTTTTTGCCTTGAGGAATCCGCACTGTGGTCAAAATGTAACCATCATCAGTAGTGATGGTGTGATTTTCATAGCTGTATCCGTGCCGGTCGATGAATTCGTACTGCAAAAAGCCATAACATTAAAAATCCCCATTTCCCATTCAAAGTGAGGAGACTCACCAAGTTGAGGCCAGTATCTGGATCCAACCAGATGGCCTCACTGAACACATTTGCGCAGAAAAGAACAAAAATTACAACAACCCTTAAACTGGACATGACTTCGAGTGAAATCAGCAGTTCCTTTGCCAACAGCAACCCATGCCTCTTTTATATAAACCGCCAAGTTCAGTCCAGATAAGGCAAACAAACATACCTTGCAATGATTAGGTAGAAATTTTGATAAAAAAATTGTATGTACCCAAAACTCCATTTAAAATAGCACCAATTATATAGAAAAAACGATAATTTACATCGTGTAACTGGTGTTATCGCACCGGTTATTACGTAGGTAGCTAGCGCTCTTGTTTAATTTATCAACATTACAAGTACAATTAGCAACACTTTATCGTCTGCACAAGATACTGACTTGTCGAGTGTGTCTTTTTTGTTATTTAATGAATGGTTAAGTGTGCTTATCGATTTGGTATCTATTAGCATCAAAACACTGTTTAATTAGCAATTGATTTACATGCAAATTCCTTAATATGAAGTGGAATTGTGAACTAAATCAACGTGAATATTGTATGGAAAGTACATAACGTTTGAACTTACAGCTTGAATTAGCAGCTAGAAGTCGTTTGAAGCACTATAAATATGCAAGAATGATGAAGAAGTCGAAGAAGAAGGTTTGTGCAACGCGCTCGAAATTGGAGACTTTCTGGATCAACATCTGCAAATTTTCCAAGAGGTTTAAGAGGACGGAGACTTCAAAAAATCCCCAGTTAAATTTTTAAAGCTCCCAAAAAGGTTAGGAGTGAGTCCCCTCATCAATGACTCAATGAACCCATAAAACTTCCAAAATTACTCAAAAAGTTAACGAGTTACAACTCAAAGAAGTCGAAAACGCTCACGACCTGAAAGATTCGTTTTGATTCCTAATCTATCAATTTCAATTGGTATTTTTGGATATGACAGTGCCTATTTGGTGACTCAGTGACTCAATAAAATTTCATGAAATTTTAGTAGTTGAGTTGTTTGAAACTCATGAGTTACAACTCAAAGAGTTTGAAGGCGCTCAATATCTGGAAGCTTCCAGTCTAGAAACTTGTTTTGGCAACTGCCAGGCGCAAATAAGGGATGCAAAACTCCAAAAATCTAAAGAGGTTTCAACCAAAGCGACCAAAGATTCCGAGTGCCTCCAAACTAGATAGAAAAACTAGACCGAACCTAAACCTCATCTTTAATAAAAAAAAAACGTATATTTCTCTAATGGGTTCAATGGTGCCACGGTCTATAGCAAACAATTAAAGATTTGACGGTCACCCTTGAGCCATTGATCAACATTTCCATTGTTTCCTGCATTCAGCGCATATTTAAAAAGGATTAACAAATTGGGATTTACGGATGAATTTTTGTGTATTTTTTCATTATTCGAATCGTTTCTTTGTAGACAATGTCAGAAGCGTTTCTGGCGTAAATAAAGTCGATGTGGTTCCATCTGGGGTAAGCCACCTGCTTACCAATGGCGCTGGGGATTTCGGAAATGAGCCGCTTAAAGTCCTGGAACAACAACAATGCCAAAAATAACCTTCGAAGGCCGGTTTGGCTTACCGAAGGTCCGCAAAAGTAGTCGTTCATTCCATACCAAACATATACCGGGACGTCGTTGATGGCGCTTAAGTTATACATTGGCGGGTTTGGCTGATTGTACATTTTTGCGTTTCTGGTCCGGTAGTTGTACTGTCGGAAAATTCCTGCAAATCGTTTTTTCTTGCTAACCCCCTTGGGTTTCCTGCCTAAAACTTACCGGTCTTGGCCACTTGAAGATAGTGCATTACGGCCTTAAAGGAACCTCCAGCAGGATATTCCGTGGCTAGCACAGTAATTTTTGACTGAAATGGAAAAAACTTTTAAAATCCCTTATTGCAATATTGCCGCTTTTCTCACCACATCAATCTGCTCAGGATCAGGTCCCAGAATCCCAGTGAGAGACACGCACAGATTCAGATAGGGCGAATCCCGATGGCACAGTCTGATCACCAAAGGCAACAGGGCCGGATTGTAAGGGAGCACCACCTTGTTGAGTTGCAAATCCCGGAAAATATCCTCAATCTGCTCCTGAATCTCCACAGCCATGCGAAAGAACGGTATTCTGCATCGGTCCATGTAAACCACGGGCGCAAATAGTTGAGCGCTAGTTATTCGGGCTCGGTATTCCGGCCGGGTGGCCGCAAGCACCACAAAGGCCGTTCCACCTTGCGAGTGGCCAAGGAAGGAAACATTGGACTGTCCTGTTAGTTTGGCTATATAGTCCATGTTGGCTGGAATGTCATAGTAGGCCACTTCGTGCCAGCTGAAGAGCGAAAGCGTAAAACAAAAAAATCGGCAGATAAAGAAAAAGTAAAACAGACAATTGGAATAAAGACGCAGGTACAAAGGCAAAAACCGACAAATACCTGAAATTCCAGTAAGGTAGGGAATCAATACTAAACTTCCTGTGGGCCAAGCTGTATCTGTTTCCTCTGCACGACATCAGAAACACATCAAATCCAGCTTCGGCCAATGAAAATCCGATTGAGTCGTCTCCTGCAAAACGCCACTAAGTTTCGGAAAATTCACTGTTCTGAGCGCACCTTTGACTAGCAGATCCTTCGGAGTGCTCAGAATGCCATGCACTAAAAGCGCTACTGGTTTCGGGGCGTTTGTCCTGCCACTTTCGTTCTTTCCTCGCGGGATGCGAAGCAGGGACAGCACATAGTCATCCTCAGTGACCACAGTGTGGTTTTCATAGAATCCATATCCGTGTTTGTCCAGAAATTGATACTGAAGGTATTGGAAGATTTGTCCAAGCTTTCAATGCTTGGGAGACAACTTACCAAATTGAGGCCTGTGTCTGGATGCAGCCAAATTTTGGACTCAGCTGATAAAATACAGCAGAACAAAACGGCTAAAAGCGCCTCACTGTACTGGAAAATTCTCGTTAGCTTCCCTTTAATTTTCTTCATTTTTTCTGTTTGCTATCGGTCATCGGCGACTATTTAACTTAAAAGCGCGAGTAAACCTTCAAATTTATTCCACTATTTCCTAATTAAGTAAATATGTCAATATTGTCCTCTAGTTTGTTATCCATTAATCACCTGTTGTTCGTGTTATTTGAAAAATTAGTTTAATGAATGAGTGTTTAACATCTGCATTATCATCTCGACATTGGGAACCTACTGGGTGCCGCCAAAAGATATATTTCTGAAAGTTTCTGAGGGAAGGTCCGGAAGTTTTGAAAACTTTGAGTGAAGATCTTGCTGATTTTTCTACTGCCGTGGTTCGGAAGTTTTTATGAAGTGTTAATGGTTTTGCAGTCATTTTGTCTCCTGGTCAGTAAGTAAGTACCGGCTTGGTATCCTTGATGCATTATTATCCAACAGTAACTACAGTAGGAAGATTAATGGTTGTAAGACAAACGAGTGCGTCTCAATGACATAGATAAGGAGAATAACACTGTAATTTATTTAATGTTTGTTAAAAAGGTACATGTTTTATGAGCTATTCGTTAGAGAGCATGAAAGAGGACGTGAAAAGTGGAATTTTTTTGAATAATTTGGCGCTTTTGAGGAAAATAATTTGAAGGATGCAAAAGCGAGCTTTTCCAATTAAATCCGACAGCTGCATTTTAAACCTGAAAATATTCGTTTTCTTCCTATTTTGAAGTTTCAAAATACGCCCTGAATTTGGCCCGTTACAAGGCAAACCGTGGCTAAAATAAATACGCTTTCAACCACTTGGCCTCCGCTGCGGCAGTGCCTGATCTACTCCCGAAATGTCAACTGTGAGGCAGGTCAGTGCAAAACAGTCGATCTAACCGCACATTATATTTCCAGTTGAAACCTCTGTTGAAACTAATTAAGTATGATTTAACAGTCGAAATAATGTATTTTGTGGCCCAATTTTTGCGCTGTTGTGCGAGCCCCTTTTACGGCCGATCCGTTCGCCTGTTGTCCGTGAGTGCAGTCAACTCGAAACTGATAAACGAGTCCCATTCTATAAATATATTCGATCGGAATACGAAAACGCTGCAACGGCAAAGGGCTGCGGTTGCGGACGATGCGAATTTGTACGACTATCTTAAGGATGAAATCGGGTTTCGTTTGGCCGATCGTGTCTTTGATATTAAGAGGAAGTTTAAACTAGCTGCCGATATTGGTTAGTTGACACGCCGCAATCGTTTGGCTAGTTAAAAGCACTGCATATTACAGGGTGTAATAGGGGGTATGTTTCCAAGCACATTTCGCCCAGCTCTGTGGAGGAATTAATTGTGTGTGATGTAAGCCAGGAGAATCTGGATGTTGTCACTGTTATGGAGGGCATTAAGTTGAGGAAGCAGATACTAGACGAGGAACACATCGATGTAATTAACTGCAGCCTTTACTAGTTAAAATTTGTCATTTCTCTTGCAGTTTGACTCGAATTCGCTGGACTTAGTGGTCTCCTGTTTAAGCCTGCATTGGGTAAATGACCTCCCAAGGGCATTTCATAAAATCCTGGAAAGTCTCAAGGAAGATGGCGTGTTCATGGCTTCAGTGTTTGGAGGGGACACTTTATATGAACTGCGATCCTCCCTACAACTGGCCGAGCTGGAAAGGAAGGGCGGCTTATCTCCCCACATATCGCCCTTCACTGAGGTCAGGGACATTGGCAGTTTGCTGTCCAATGCAGGCTTTTCCATGCTCACTATTGATACTGATGAAATCGTCGTTAATTACCCCAGCATTTTCGAGCTGATGTCGGACCTTAAAGGTGGGCAATTGAATACCAAGCCTGTGTTAAACGCTTGAAGCTTTGGTTGCAGGCATGGCTGAAAGCAATGCAGCCCTTAACAGGTCGCTGCACTTGCAGCGGGACGTCCAGTTTGCGTCAGCTGCAATTTATCAGCAGCTGTATGGGAAAACCGATCCTGAATCCGGAACCACCAGCATACCGGCAACGTTTCAGGTGGAACCCTCTATTAGGAGCATATGAATGAATTGTAAACGGTTCGTTTTAGATCATCAACATGTTGGGCTGGAAACCCCACCCCAAACAGCCCCAGCCAATCCAGAGGGGCTCAGGCGAAGTCTCCCTGAAGGACTTGCATAAGCTGGACGAAATCGTCAAAGAGGTGAAGACCATTAAGGACAAAGACTAAACACCATGTCTTGTTTTCACTAAATGTTTATTTTGTTATACGGACCGAAGAATATGTATATATGTAATAAAATGTGCAAGTGAATTGATTTTCATTTGAAAACGTTTTCTATTAGTACCGTAGTACTGATGAATATTGCAAGGTTCCATCTCACAAGTGAAGATAGTTTATCACAGAAAACCTTAGTTTAATTTAATAAATTGTTGCTGGATTTTACCCGAAAAAGCATCTGATAAACATTGAAATGTCTCAACATGATATAAAGGCTTTGTTATAAACTGGATATGCTTTCTGGCTTAACGATTATATGCTACTTTACTCACACCGCGCTATAGATAAAAGTGCTGGGTTCATAGAAATGTACACACACGAAGAAATTTTTGAAACTGTAGAGGGTTATTGGGCATTTATTGCCTGTTTCTTCACCCTTTAAGTCCCTTGTCCTTGCTGTGAATTCAACAGCTTATTTATCCGATAACGGCAATAAATTCACATCAGGGTTAAAGGAATACAAGCGTTATTTTAACCCGTTTATCCGAACACTCCAGAGAGGCACTTGCCTCTGGGAAAATGAGAAATTAACTTAGTTTTTTTGCGTTAAATTGATCAAAGCGTGCAATTTCCTAGAATATACATACATAGAAGTTATTTATTTACAGAACCTATCATTTATCTATAATACTTGTACCTGCCGCGCAGTAAAAAACGTTACAAGCTTGGACAGATTAGAGAGGATTTGGTTATATGTGTGACTAATTTTCCAGTTAAAGTGATTTTGTCCGCATTTTTTAAATGTTTTTCATGATCCCGCAGTTTTTGATCGAATATTTGTGCGATTTAACACCGGTTTCCTACAACTACAGTTCAATGTTTAAGTAATACATTGGGTGTTTTCCTTAGAAAGTCAGTCAAATGCTAATCGTATCAGCTAATTAGTTAAAACGGGTGAAAGGGTCTCACTTCCTTGGGTGAATATTGAATATTGTACATTAAAAAAGGGCATCAGCCGACCCGGAAGGGTGAGGAAGTAGAAAAAGTATATACAGCAAAAAAATAGTCAGAATTAAAGGTACTTAACCCTATGTAAAGCAAACGACTATCATTTTATTGCAGCGGGTTGAAGTCTCGCGCGCACTGGAGGTACTGGAGAACTGCTGGCGCTTCTGGATACTCGCGGCTGATCAGGAACCTGCGTTTAACAGCTCACTTGTTAAAAGTCTTCAGTTTTGTCTAAATATGGAACATTTACCGCTAGTTTTGAGTCGGCAGACTTCCAAACGGGAGGCGAGCACGTTCTTGAATGGTCTGGATGCGGAGCCCTGCTGAGAGCATGAATGGGTATTCGGTAAATCCTCAATGGCTTCACTTCGGGCGATGCTAAAAACCGTCCATTAGCCAAAAAAATTTCCAGCAATTGCTGCTGTTTACCGTTTGGGCTCGAGGGTGGCGAGACTTTTTGCAGCCCCTGCTGCCTGATGTCCACGTAAAGTCGGTCGGTTTTGTTCGGGAAAAACTCTGGAGCGGTGGTGGCGAAGAAAATGTCGTTTTTGCTGGTGATTAGTTGCAGCTTGGGCATGCTCATGGTGTGGATCAGATTTCCATTGACTACCAGCCGGATTTCCATTGTGTTGGATGTGAAAGCGATTATGTATGGAAAGGCACAGACTGTGAAAAGATCACTTGGATGAGCTTGGTGTCAGTTTAAGCAAATTTTCTGGAGATATTGCCAAAAGAGCTTTAACGATGACCGAGAGCGATATTTTTTGGATCAAGTGTTTGTGGTGTTTTTCAGCAATTTTTTAAACTAAAGTTGGTTGGCGTCAGTTGTAATTGTCATGTCAAGTTATTTGCAAAAAATACTCAGTCGAAATGAAAACTACCTGGATTGTTGCTTTTTAGTCGATTTAAAAAAGAAACTTTCACCCTATTAAGGAAAGCAAGAATCGATTTTTTAGTGTTTTACTCTATTTTTTACAATTTTCCGAAGTGGTAGGTAACTACGTAAAACTCCTATATTTAACTCACCAATATCTGTTGGGGCAGAGTTCCAATGAAAATCGAAATTCATCGCCTCGCAGTTGATGGTTTCATTTAGCTTCTGGAAATGGCAAGTATCTGGAAGATTAACAACACAGTGAAGAGATTTTCCCGACTTCTTCCGTGGGATTAAATTACGGTTATAGCAAAGCATCAGCTGGATCTCCTGGTCCTCGTACAGATCCAAAGCAGCCACCAAATGCGTTCTGGTCCCTTCCACCGTGTATAAATGTTGCGCTTGTCCGGATCGTCCATTTACGACATCCCAGTGGTTCTTGTAGCCGACGCAAACCAAGATATCACCATGTGTGGGCGAAATGGGGCTCCAGACGTTATCCAGGATGGTTAGAATGGATGGTTGCTCGCTCAGATTGAGCTCCTGAAAATGCTTTGTGTGTTTGGGGGTTTGTGAGCCTCAAGAAGCAAAGTTTTACCCAGAAGAAGGAGAAACCTTCCACAGTGTCTGTGTCGCTTGCAGGACACCAAGCAGTCCAGGCAGCAGAGTGTTTCCATTGAAACATCAACAGTTTTCTGCCGATAGCTACGCACATTCGAAGCCGAGCTCCACCTATAGGGACAGGACATATTTCGCAATCAATTCTTGCATTCGGCTTTTATGGCCTCAAATTAAATAAAATCCCAACCATCGCAGCCATAAAAGACTTAACGAGCTTTATACGGTCGGTCAATGAACGCAAGAAGTACAAGTGTTGTCTAACCTGCTCGTGATATTGAATATAAGTGCGCTCCTCGTGTGCGTTCCATTCGATGTTCTTTCACATCGATTCGCGTGAAAATTTCGGTCGTCATTTCGATTTGCGACAACCTGAAAACATAAATCTTGCAGTCCTTGTGGGCGGAGCCGGCTCTGAGCAAGATTATACCATGGGGCTCCACCACGTTCAATTGGCGAACCTGAAGGGATTTGTCAAAGATTTGCCTGTGAGAGGTTCCATCTAGGAAACGAACCAATCAGAGTGTTGCAAAATTGAGCTAGAAACGTTCATTTACCCTCGACCACAAAAGTGCCATCCTCAGTAGCCACTACTAAACGGTTTTCCCCCCATGAGTCGCCGCAGGCGATGGGATGAGACGGGAATACCGGGTAGAAGCAGTTTGCTTCCCATGGCGATCTTTTGAACACCGTTCCTGCTGCTCCAGTGCTGGCCAGACTAGAAAATTGCCGTTTTTAATTTATTTACCTTTTTTAGTTTATATCCAAAATATGTTTGTTGGGTTCTAGTGAACTTTTATTTTGCTTAACTTTCAACAGGAATTTAAAAAATTATTGATCAAAACGGGCCTTCAGCTAGAAGGTTGCGTTATCGAGCACTTGAACGGAAATTCTTCACTCTATGGGGTGGGCAAGTGTAGATTTTTTCTGAATTTTCTCGCATTTTTGGTGATTTTTCAAAGTCAAAATTTGTCTAGATTGGCTTCAGTAGTGAATGATTCCGTGGAAACGATTTAAAAAATTATTATTATTATGTAAAATTGGCCCCATTTTGCTAAGAGGCTGCCTGATATTCCATTTTAAAGATCAATGTCGACACTATCAGGTTTGCAACTGTCGATTTTCTGTTGTTTTTCCCGAATTTTTCGGGATTTTTTAAAATGAAACATTGCCTAGATATGGTTCAGTAGCGACTAATTCCGTAGGAAAAGTTTTCAAAAAATCGTTATTCAAAATGAGAACTTGCCAAACGGCTGCCTTCTAGCCCATTTTAAAGATAAATGTCGACTCTATCAGGTTCGTAAGTCACGATTTGCTCTTGGTTTTCTCTGATTTTTGGCGATTTTTCAATGTCAAAGTTTGACTAAATTGGCTTCAGTTACGAATGATCCGTAGGAAAGGTTTAAAAAAAATTATTATTAAAAATGGGGACTTGTCAAAGGGCTGCCTTATATGCCATTTCAAAGAACAATGTCGACTCTATGAGGTTCACAAGTGTCGATTTTATGTTGCTTTTTCCAAATTTTTGGCGATTTTTCAAACTTAAACTTTGCCTAAATTGGGTTCAGCAGCGCATGATTCCGTAGAAAAACTTTTAAAAAATCAGTATTCAAAATCGGGACTTGCTAAAAGGCTGCCTTCTAGCCCATTTTAAAGATAAATGTTGACAGATTCGTAAGTACCGATTTTCTTTTGATTTTCCCGGATTTTTGGCAACTTCTCAAAGTTAAAGTTTGACAAGATTGGCTTCAGTAGCGAATGGTTCCGCAGGAGCAGTTTTGAAAGTTAATTTTTTTTTCATTTTCATTTTTTTGGCGATTTTTCATTTTAGGAAATTTTTCAAAATCAAAGTTTAGCAAAATTCTCCTCAGAAAATGTTAACACGCCCTGGGCCTGGCGCACATCCACTCTTATTATCCCATTAATATATTATAGTCCAATAGCCAGATTGATTGTTCCGTATTGGTTGGTTATTGTCCCAATAGGTTAGATCGGAGCATTCTGCGGGCCAATGTTTATTTAGCAACATTCTCAAGCACCCAATGTTTGCGCAGGTCAGTTCCAGCACGCCTTTTTTGGTTTTAAAGCCGGCAGGATTGCCCGATCTCTTACCCAATGAACATGTTTGGATACACATCAGCGGACCAATCCCAAGAGCCGAGACAATTAAAATATCTGAAGTTTCTTTAAATAAACGAAACCGATTTTCAAGACTCTTGAGGTTCAGTTGTGCATTTTAGGGCTTTTATCAGGGATTTTAAAGTACAAAATATCCAGTTTAGCGTATAAACCACAGGGAACAAACGCCAACTGTGCCAGTCGTTTATTTCAATAAAAAAATTAATTTAGCCCCGTTCCATAAAAGAAACCCTGCGGAATCGGAATTTATCGGTAGCTTCCAGCAGGGAAACAGTGAACTAAAGCACAATCTTCGAAGCGTATCCGGATGGTTTTAATACAAAAGGAAACTCTTCAGTTTTCAGTAAATAGAAAATAGACTGCAGGGATTGAGGATGCAGCTCATTACCTTGTAGGTGCATCTCCTCGGACAATCGCTTCCAGTTTGAGGGCTTGGCCAATTCGGACGAATTCAATTTGGCGGGAGTCCTCTTTGAGTCTTGAGTGGCGAGGCGTTTCAGCCAATACATCGGAAAATGCTCTTCGATTCAGCATCGTCTGGAAAAATCGATTTGATTCAAATATAAAAATTTCATTTCAGAGTGAATTGGTGAATAGTACAAACGGCCATTGAAGTTCAATGTTGTCGTAAAAACAGTCGTGAAAGTTTAACTGACGTGCCAAAAGCGTTTGACTGATTTAGGTAAATTTATTATTCAAAACAAGTCAGTTTTTGGAACATTGTTCTCTAGATAATTTGATAGAGAAATCTTCACTCTATCTGGTCTGTTCGTAGCGATTTCCTCATAGGTTGCCTCGATTTTTAACAATTTTTTAAAGAGAAGTATGTGTGTATTTTAACTATACACACCCCACAGGTAAACGGTTTTTCAAAAATTTATTACTCATTATCTGGCCTGCAAGTATAAATTTTGTCATCAGTTTTCTCGATTTTTTGCACTTTCTCAAAGTTCGGCTTGACACACCTCGGAGATAACGAGTTTTTAAAAACTGTATTACATAGTTAAGTTAAATTCTCACTATATTGGGTCTGCAAAGAGCAATTGTTTTATCGATTTCCTCGATTTGTTGGCAATTTTTCACAGGGAAAGTTCGACTAGATACCAGCCGCGGATAAAATGTTTTCAAAAATTGATTACTCAAAATATAGACCATTTGGAAGACTGTACTACAAATCATTTGTTAGAACTCATTGCAACATGTGACCGGAGAGTGCCAATTTTTCTCCGATTTTCAGTATTTTGTTACAAAGTAGAAATTTCACCAACATCAATAATTCATTGGAAAAAATGCTTTAAATCGAGAATTAATCTTGGGGGGAGGGGGGAATGAGAGTCGCAGTTATCAACATTTTCATAAGAAACGCCGCCGAATATAACAGGCTGCACACGTAAATTTTGTTGACTTTTCAAAAGCTTTCGACTCTATTCATCATAAAAGAAAGCCAGTGAAAATTCCGGGAAGCGAAAAGTTCGCTGAACTAAAATATACATTTGTGTCAACTTTTGCAACAATTTCCAATTTGATTTTCCCGGTAAACAAACATTAAACTTAATGAACAATCTTAGTCGTGTTTGCTCAGTGAGAGCGAGCCTGGAAAACAAATATTTACTCGGAAAACATTTAGCGATTCGCGCCGATTAGAAACATCTCACGTAGCTGAGTTATTCCAGGGTAATTTTTTATTGGTTTTCCACCAGATTTTCCACCAAAACAAGCACAAAAATACGTACAATTCGAGCATCGGTGACATGTTCGGAATGCAGATCCTTGATAAGCATTTCCAGAGTTCTCTGCCGTTTTCTGGCAAATGTTGGCGTTTCGAAGGTGGCCTTTTCCCCATTGATGAGTTTCACCAGTAGAAACTCTCGGAATGCGTACGGGTCGCTAAACATCGGAGGACACGGAAGTCCAGGTCCGAACAGGGGAACAGCCTCATCAGAAAACACGGAAAGTCGATAATGTCCGTTCGAACTAACGCTTACCGCTGCGAAAATATCTGGCAATTAATTGGTAAGTAGCTATTCAACCAGTTTCTGTAATTGTAGCCAGTCTAGTTTAAAATCAATTAGAACTTCTGTTCCAGAAAACAAACTAATGAAGTTCGGGCGGTTCGCAATTAAAATGTTTAATTAATCTTTATTGAATTTCACCATCCATTCGCTCCACTGTTTAATTATTTTGATTTTTTTGCGCTTCTTTCCTTTTCTCGCTTCACTACCTGAAGCAATTAACAATTCCAGAACAGCTGGAATTATTTAAATTGAAGTGGAAGGTTTTTTTCAATAATATTCCTACATAAGGACGGTTGAATTGGAAACAATCGGCCAAGTGCTGCATTTAAATCGATAGCGGGGTTTCGACGGCAATTCCAGCTTTATGCTAATGCGAAAGCCGTTGGCGCCAAATTTGCCCAAATATTGGCTCTACAGGGTGTCCCACCGGAAACCACCAGAAAACTATAATTAGGAAAAATTTCAAAATTGGGTTCCAGTTATACCGGAAATATGGCAGAGAAGAAGTCCATAGAAGACCCCTTCTATCTAGTTCCGGGCTCGATTTTGCACTACCTTCCCAAATTTGGGAGATATTGAATTCGCTCGGTTAACTTATTTTTCTCCTTTTCTCAAAAATCTTTCAATGGAAACGCTTGCACAAATTGCACAACTTGCACAAGTACCTAGATAAATTTCTAATATTTCTTGAAGAATAAGTTTTTTTATGGAAGGCTTTATTTCCGATACAAAAACATTTTGTGAAAATTCAGGGACTGATCTCATTTATCTCTTGAATGATCACAACATCCGCTGGCTCCCCAAAGCGAATAAGCCCTCATTTTACTATTGTTTACCCTGATTAATAAACGAGAATCCGAATGTGAAAACTAATTCAATCAAATCAAAAAATGAAAGTTTTAAAAAGGATACGAGTAAATTGCGACTTAATGCAGGTGGGATTGAATTGGGCATGGGCCGTTTCATTCTGGTCATCCTCCTCCATGTCAATGAAGACAATGTTGACGATATCGTTGCCAATGTGTCTTTTCCTCTCCACCTGTTGACGATTATCCCGCGAATATGGCAACAGAGTGGACACATGGAACATGATTTCGTGGCCTTCATAGACTGTGTATACCGAGTATTTTCCGGTCATATCGCCTGGAAGTCGCTAAAAATCCAAACCTACTCGCAAAAACCGATGAACACGTTTTACCTTTAGTATCCAACCCGCCCCGGTATTTATCCCAGCCCTTTAGCCGAACTCGATCTCCCAATAAGGTGAGAAACTGCTCAAACTTGTTGCTACCATGTTCTGAAACAAATGCGAAATGATGAGGATTTGCTTTGAAACCAAGGCTTTGTCCAGCGTACCGTTGCTGAGCATTTCATCGTCGCTATTCTGGCCTTGTTTCATGTAAATGACCCCAAACTTGAAGTTCACGGACCCTTCCTGTTCCTCCAGCAGCAGCAGGTCCTTTTGAATGTCCGGCGTGAAAATCTCCTTTGGGCCCTTCTCCACTTTGTCCATGTTGGGGAAGTTGGACAGGATCTGCTTGACGGTTAGCACTTTGTTTTGGGGAATTGGCAACGATATTTTGTGGGCGCCCTTAAAAAATCCTCCACTGCATTAGTCACCTGGAAGTACCGAAGTTTCACTTACACATTTTCTGAACAGTATCGCCCTGTACAGAGGCACGAGGCTGTTGTTGTCCTCATTCATCACAATGCTGAGGAAAAACGGGGATTTGTCGTTGTCCACTCCAATGTAGTTCTGGTGCACTGAAACCGCCCTTTCTGTAAACCTTTGATTCATCCTCCTTACGTATAAACTCACGCTTTCCAAGAAAATACTTAAAGTACCACCTGGTTTGGTACTCTGGATTTTCCAGCACTGGAGTGCTGGGTGAGCCAAACATCTAGAAAAACCACATGCACATAAAGCTCAGTCCTGTCCAAATGTAATGAAAGAAAAAATACTCCAAGTGGGCGAAATCTGAAATCCGTTTGTTGCTCTTTCCATGTAACTGCTTTGCTTATTGAGTTTCTCTGCAAATAGACTATCGAGCCGTACAAAACAATTAGGAGTTGATTTGAGTGGCTAAATTTAGTCCGGGCATGTTCCAACCGGTATTTTCCTTTTAAAGTGCCCGGGTTGTGAGTTTCCGTGAGAAGCCGTATTCTTCATGTATGCGGCACATACCTACATTTCGGTATTGTTTGAAACTTCACAGGTTCATTAAAGAATGGAAGCAAAAAGCGAATTACAAAGGAACCTAAACGGTGTGTAAAAAAATTATATTTTCACAAGAAGGGATTTTGCACTTTTTGGGTTGTTTTTGGGTTTATAAGAAGAAATATATTGGCGGTAAAAAATCGTAGCCGCTCAAAATAGACAGAAAATTTGAATTTTCAACCAAAAATCAAAATTTCACAACACTGTTTTTTGCCCTTATTGGATTGCTTCCCAGCTAAGAAGCTGCCCAATAACGAATATGAAGTTTGTGGGTCCATAATAAAAACAACAAAACACACAACACAAAAACCGCTCAAATTAGACAGAAAATGTTCATTGCTTCGGATCTGGAAAGTCCATAGTGTTTTTAATCAGCTTGTTCAATTCCGCGTTTTTTTTTCGATGAAAAATTATGTAAAGTTTGATGCTATTTGAAAGACTTGAGGTTTTTTGAAAAATCGAGCTCTTACGCTGCAGCTTTCCATCTCGTGCTTTTTAAACTCTAATGTTAATTTTTTTTATAAAATCGACAGAGGATCCAAAAACGATGCGCTACCATTCTATCCAATAAAACGCCTGTAACCAGCCCTAAATTATTCAACTAAATTGTAATGAAGGAAACCGATTTGAATTAGCGAAAACTCTGCCTATTTGTCTTTGCCTCATTTGTCCTAACAAAGCAATTTGGGGGATTAATTGAAGAAATCAGAAGAGGGAGAGAGTTATGAAGTGAGGCGCTTTTAACTCAATGCCTCCAAGAGGGACGTGCATGAATAATTCGAAAATGTTTTGCAAGTGAGTGGATTTAGAGGAGGGGCTTTCACACCCCCCATGGCATACAACGTTTTTTTTGTGTGTGTTCGACAAAAACACTTACTTCGTCCTTTTCTCCTGGAGAGTCGCCATTTTCAATGCGAAATCTCCTGCAGTGCTCATGGCCATCCACTTCTGGCTGTTGCAGCTAAAACAATGCCTTGATTAACAGGACATATTCTGAAGCGCTTTTGGGTAGGGTTTTTTTATTGAAAATAAGTGATCTGGACTTTCCTTTTGCCTGAACCCATCAAAAGACACTAGTTAGGAATTTTTTCTTTGGTACATTTCTAATAAATGACTGGCCAGTTATGGAAAAATTTACACCGATACTATTGAGATTGGATAGACGTGTGACCTAAATGTTCAGTCAGACGTTCTGGATATCAGTGCCAGATTTGCTTGGATTTATTCCGTGGAGGATTGCAATTTGTCATGAGTTAAATCACGGTACGGAAGGCGTCAAAGGAGAATAATTTCGACGAATGGAATTGCTTTTTCGCGAAACACGCATGGTTTTTTTTCCGAAAAAATTCCCGCCCTCGATTCCCACTGATTTGATTTGATTCTAACTGTTTTATGTTTGCTACATTTTTGGTCTTTTATTAACCATTTGAAGATATGGATTCAGCTGCTAAACAGGTAAAATATCATCAATTTGCCACAAAACTTCCAGCAGCAAAGTCGTTTTCCGATGATAAAAGACCTGGACTGGCTGATCCAGTTGATATATTGTAACGATCCAATAGAGCCGGTGCCAATGTAAGTAAATGGGGAAACGACCCGGAAGCTTTTGAAACCGCCATTAATTCGGTGTCTTGAATGTGACGCCCAAAAACACAAGACAAATTGCATCTCCAACCAGTACAATCGGCAAAATCTGGCTAATATATTCAGGATAATGAGGTTTTGCACCCGGGAATCGACAGTCCACGAACAAACCTTTAGGCGATTTATTTGCTTATTGTTGATTTGTCGCTGGCTTTACATAGGTAGATGAAAAGTTCCAGTGGCTTTCAGCAGTGTGTTTCAAATTATTCCCAGTCCTTCGTTTTTCAATTCTGCTACGTGACGCTGCTTTGTGCATTATAAAAGCATGAAAATCGATTTTGCAATTTGATTAAACTCTCGTGTTCTAGAGCCCAATTTAACGCGCATTTTTATTGCCGTTTAAAACGCCTCCAGACTTGGTGTTTTTGTATATTTAAACTGTGAAACAATGTAGATCAAGTTCTTGTTCAAGGCAGAAAAGTTCTCACCTGTTCAACCGATCCATAATATCGTCTGGAAAACACGCCCCTTCTGGATATCAGGTCACTGGCAGTTGAACTAAAACAAACCAAAATATTTTAAGAGGTCACTTTTACAGAACAAGGATCAATCGAGTCGCTTATCCAGCACTTTGTCTACTGGAACAAGTTGCAAATCGCCTTTGAATACAAAATCAAATCCCTCATAAATCACTGATAGATGACACTCGTCTGGTTCAAAGGGCCTCGTTAGACTTGAGAATGCTCGACCTTTTTCACATGCATTTTAAGTGCAACTTTTCCGTTTCCTTAAACGCTGAAATTTAGCTAAAGCAGATGCTTTCCTGAACACGGTCTTGCATGGGACAATGGCCACTTATTGCTATTGCGCGCAGCCTGAGGAAAGCAGTGAAAAGTAGTCCAGAAGGAAGGAACATCGTGATCAAGCGTAATTAAATGTAGGCAATTATTACACAAATCGGTGAAAATTGCGTTCGTTTTATATCTAATGCCAACGAGTTGTTAACCTAGGGGACCAGTAATGGTTTGCATTGTCTAAAAAGCTGGAAAACCTGGGCAAAACCCTCAGTTTGCCAGGCAGTTTTTGCGCTGAAAATTCAATATCCAACTCGGGCCGAAAGAGGAGGAACAAGCAAAAAACCTTAGCTTCAAGTTGGCTGCCTCATTTCGATAAAACAAGCTGAAAAAGTGTCCAATAAAATCGGGATGATTAATCGGCAGCTTAAAGCGGCAGCTTCAGTTTCTCTGCTACTTACAAAGCTGAGCTAGCTCTCCTGTGGATCAGCTTCAGGGCGCTGACATCCCGAGGCGATTTATTCCTGAAATTCGAAACGCACACACTTTTCGATCTGTCCCGTGACGTGGATTCTTCGGTTTGTTTCTCTTTGCGAAACCGTTGCACTAAACGCATCTCGAAACAGAGCATGCCGGCTATCGAAGAGTTTTATGCATTTGAGTTGTTCTGTGAACACTGATTTTCCAATTTTTCTTGACTGAACTTCGCTTGAAGGATTTTTGAACTTGGGATTTGCCGCGTGAACCGGGGGCTAATGAAAATGATAATCTTAATTAGAATAGAATGGCAGTAAATTGGGTAATTTCGGTAAACTATCCGGTTAATAAACAGGCTTGTTATCAGCATTCAAATTCTCACAATCTCGTCGTTGCGTACACATGTTTATATGCGGGGTGTAAACAGTGTTGACGACACTTAATCAATTTATGTTTTCGATGAAGTCAACCATCAACTAGCAAAAAATGGCCACATTTAACGTGGTAAGATGGTAACTGGCACAAATTGGAAATTCATCCCCATTTGGATCATTTCTCCTGCGGTTTAGACGCCGTCAGACAAATCAATTCAAACCGACAAATGCGATTAGCTGACTAATAAAATTCATTGTCGAGTAGATTACTCCTATTAAGGACTAATCGGAATCGGGGGATGTTCCATTCAGATCGCAAATGCACGTGAAATTAACTTTCCAGCAGCTTCGGTTCGCAGATTCGAACTCCTCCGTATGGCTGTGGAATTCGATTTCCCAATCCCGAATCAAATTGTGCCAGTTCAGCATTTCCAGCAACAAACTTTCGGTAGCTTTACATAGAAAAATTTCCCATGCTGAGAGGTCAATGCAACAGGGAATGCCACATCATTTCTTCCATTAATTCTAAACTTGGTAGGTATTTCCACGAAAAGCCATAGGGGCTAATAAAGCTTTGGCCTTATTTACCAAGCGGGTTATTGAACCGCGTAATAAATAATGGAATTTCGTCAACAATGCGGGTAATTTATTGACAAAATGGCCAGCAATTGGGCCATAGTCCCTTGCCTAGCACCACCTTAACAATGAGTACATCGATATCTGCGTCATTCAAGTGTCTGATCATCAGCAAGAGCTTGTTTAGTATGATGCATGGATATTTCCATTGATTTATTTGAGTAAAACTTTAGGTCGTTGTGCAAAAGAACGTTTCGCAAGCACGAGTGGACCAAAAATTTGCTTATAAATTACATTTGAGTGAAATTTTGTCACGTTGGAATTTAGAGTCGCTTTTGTGCTGTCCAAATGTTTGTCCAAAAAGTTACTACTTGGTCCAGTTTCGCAGTTTCAATTCTTTTCGACAGCCTGCACCCTGAACTTTTGCTTTTTGCATTTGACTGAAAAGTTTGTTAATGTTGACCCGTGAGGCTCTTTTATATTGTAAAACAAAATCATCTTTTTTCGTCGGACTACACAACTGAAGAAGTTTGTTAGCACCGCCCTTTAGAACCTCAATTTAGAGCGCCACTGGGGGTTGGAACTTTACATGCAAACGGGCTGAAAAGTTTCAATAAAAAGTTAAAAAAATCACGCCAATTCTCTGTGCGAGAGCACAAAACCAACACTGCGAACAACAAGAGAAGAGACTTTGCTCTGTAAAATGGTAGAAGAACGAAGTCATTAGAAGCTTTATTTTGGGCGCCACCAGAGGTGAAAACTTGGCATGCAAATCGCGTGAAAAGTTGCTCCAAAGACTGACAAATCTCCAAAATTATCTGTTTAAGGACACAAAAACCATTCAACAGGCAGTTGGCTGAGAAATATAGCTTTTTAAACACAAGAGCGAAGTCCTTAGAGCCTCTTTTTTGAGCGCCAGTGGAACTTAAAACTTCGGTTCCCAAAGACGGGGAAAGTTGCACTAAAAACTTAAAAAAATTGCGAAAATTTCCTAATAGAGGGCACAGAAACCACGCAGCGGTTGATCAGAAGCAAGACTTTTCTCGTTAAAATGACACAAGGTGAACCCCTTAGAAACCCAATATCGGGCACCACTGGAGAAACTTTTCATGCAAAAAACGTGAAAATTTGCACCAAAAATTTTGAAAATCAAAATTTCTCTGATTAATCGCAGAAAAACGATTCTATGCACAATTAGAGAACACTTTTTCCTTTAAAATGGCACGCGAAAGAATGCTCTTGCAGTAATATTTTGCGCGTTACTCGATTTTAAAAATTCGCACAATTGAACAAAACACTTTGAAAAATCATTAAAATTTGATGTTTCAGAGCTCATAAACCACACAGTGGACGATATGAGAAGAACCTTTGCTCTTTAAATTTAAATTGGCACAAGAATGAACTCCCTAGAGACTCTATTTTGGACGGCATTGGAGGTTGGAACTTCGCATGGAAAAGAACTTTGCACCAAAGCTTTTGAAAAGTCTCAAAAATTATTTGATTACAAGCACAAAAACAACGCAATGGATCAGAGAAAATAATTTGTATTCTAAACGACAGCCTGTTAGTGAGTCTTTTTGAAAAAGGGCCCAAATTCACTAATAAATAGTGCCTCATGGAAAAAACTATTAATGATGCAACTTCAGTGAAACATTCACAAGTCCTGAATTGGCTCGAAAGTGGATCTGCCATTTGGGCCGAATTTCAACAACATACCGAGCTGTAAAGTTCCAAATTTTTGAGAAAATCTAGCAAGATAGCCAAAATCCGAAAAAAGTTTTCCTTCGCATTAACGCTGCAGGCAAAGTAAATCAGTCACAACTCGTGGCACGGCCTGAATCTGAATTTTCCGTTTAAGGAGACTTGACCCAAAAGACCAAGCTTCAAAAATCAAATTTTTCGGCAAAATCGAGCAACAGACTAATCAAAAAAATCAAACGTATTCCGTAGCTTGAGTGAAGCATTCATCAATTATGGTTCGGCTTAAATGTGAGTCTGCCATTTAGACAAAATAGCCCAACTCAATTGGCACAAAATTTCAGAAAATTCGAATAAAATATGTGCTTATATAATTCATATAAAATGTTAACAAATCTATAAAACCTCAGGTTTCAATTAAATTTTGTCAATATTTGCTCTAAAAGTGCTTTAATTTGGAAGCGCCCAAATGTAAGATTTGACGGCTAAAAGCTAAAACATCTCACTTGTTTCAAACAATTACCGCGAAAGCCCAACTTTTCAATTTAATATTTGCTTGTCTTCTACAAGCAGAAGATTTGTGAATGATTCTAAATATTTCCATACAATCATTATGTGCTTAATGAGGTGTTTACCTGCGAAATTCAATCGCTTTTTCTAGATGAAATTTCTTTTCATCATTATCAAATAACGAAAATACAAATACAGGAAAATCATTCAAACACTAAGAGAAGTTAGAGAAGTTTGGGAACCCAAATCCCAATAGCTTCGCCTTTTGTTTCTCAATGTTCTCCGTTTTCCTTGTCATCCTTGAACAACTTTTTCAAAGAAACTTGTACAATAAAACTGATTTTCGCCAACAATCAATCCGGGTGTTCCAAACTTTAATAAAATAACTGGAAGATCATACACAATTAAATTATGACAACAAAGAAATCCCTGTAGGAAGTGGGCAAAATTTAAAAAATTACCCAGCTCTGTCTTAAAGTCACGTTGTTGGCCTTTAAAATACACATTAAATCTCAAACAATAGCCAGCGTCGCGCTTGGAGAGAAGTTAGTTATTTAACGAGCTTTTGGGAAACATCTCATTAGCACTGGAAACTTCGAGACGGTTATTTCCATAATTCACTGTTCTATGCAGCTTTGAATGTAGAATCCCCAGAAAGCTTTGCTGATTTGGACAAATGTATTTTCTTAACCCATTGACCTAGTTGGGGCACATAAAAGTCAAAAAAATCCCCTGCTGTTTCCTCCATTAATCAAAGATTGGGCTGTAAAAACAGTGGTCGTAATGGGAACATTACCGAGGAAAATGACAAAGTGCCTGGGGCCTTTTACTAGCTTCCCAAGTAAAATAGAGAAAATTTGAATGAAAATGATAGTCAATTAGTTTGGAAGCGCATCGAAGACGATACACATTCAGCGATATGCAAGAAGGATCTTATATTTAATGATTTGCTTAAGTTTGTGTTGTCCCGCGGGAATTCGCACGGAATTCTATGAAATCGGGAAGATTGCCAAGTTGCGATTTCACTGGTTATAGGTCAGAAGGCCACTTACCCCTCAGCTGGGGCTGCGGTGTTTAATAATAACTAGAAAGCGTCAAAAGTCGGGAAAATATTGCGATTTATGCTTGCTTGTATAGCACACTTGAACTATATAGTTAAAAGAGTAAAAGTTTGAGATTTAATTTTTAAAATTTGAAAAGTTTTCTAATGTTGCAAGATATAATATTTTTATCTGCGTTTAACTAAAATTAATAGTGGTAAATTTCCTGCTACTCTTAAAGTGTGAGCCGCTTTTATGCTCCTGTTTAACGCTAAGTATGTTTATGAAGTTCTGAGGTGTTGGTGAGTTTTTACTAGTTTGATGATTTATGATAGTTTGATAATTGAATAGTTTCGTTTGGTTCAAGCTTGGTCCAGTCAAGAATCTTCTCAAGCTTTGGCCGAACTGTTGACTTACAAAATACCAGCACAATTTCTCAGCTACTTGCTATAGTTTGCGGAACCGTTGGCCTAACGACACCGAATTGAACGAGCTCAGGAAATGGTCGAAGCAAATTTTAAGCGCGACTCGCGAGCTGTCGGACGAACTAAAGTTTTCCGAGCTTTTGGCGCGTTTTCATACCGTATTCTGTGTTTCCACCGTCAAAAGATGGTTGCGCACGCGTAAGTATGCAGGAAATCCTCAATTCCTTAGTGAGACACATGTCCAAGAAGAATTTGGAATTATCAAATTAAAGTTTCACCGTTCGTATTTCGCAGGCGGACGTTTTTACATGTTTGCCTGCAAATCACTATTTCAGACTAGAGGTTTGTTTCAGTTTCAGATTAACTTAAATAAGCCAAATTAGGGAGTAAAATAAAATCTAGTCTTTCAAAACAAACAATTTTATCACGACTTCCAGTTTATGCTTTATTTTGCGTTGGGTTTGTTGGAATCATATGGGAGAATTGCATTTATTTACGGCTCTTGGTGCCAGATTGGCAACATTTCCATCAAACTCTAATTCATCGCCCTTTGCGCTTTCAAATTAATATTCGCACCAAATTATGAATGAAACTAAATGAATTAATTTGCAAAAAAGCCAATTTGACTGGAAAATCTGGAATTATTCCCCTAGTCCTTCACAGTTTACCTTCGCCAATCCAAAGTCTCCGTAGCATGAATCAGAACTAATTAAATTGTCTTGTTGTTTACGAATCAGGAAATTATTCTCACCAAACTCAATTAACTTGTTATTGGGACAAGGGCCGATTTATTCGGCATGTTTGAAATGGGAAATCCGTAGGAAAGTGAACGAAAACTGCCAAACAAGACGCTTTTCTTGAACTTGTTATATATTTTCCAAATCAAATGAATCCCAAACAGCTTCGGTTAGTCAAACAAATGGAAAATATGCATTGTATAAAATATTGTATCAACAATAAGCATTTCCACCAGCCATATATCCAGATTCAGTGCCCTTATGCAAATAATAACAGTTGGTTGATAGTTCGAGTATTTCTATTATTAAATTCGGGAATCGTGAGATTAGTTGATTACGATGGATTTTCCATGGCTGGTACAAAAGCGGGTAAATACAGTGGAAACGTTTATTGCATTTGATCAAGTCTGATGTGAAAATTGCCCCAAACACACGCTAATTATTCAGTTAATCGTTTAAACTTTTTCGCACGTAAGTTTAGAGGGGAAAAAATAACGGGTCACTAATTACCCGCAGAAATTAGCATAAAATCCATATTCAATGGCCTGGTTGACGCAGACAGAAATTGGCATAGATAAAGGTGGTATAATCAACAATACTAGGCAAAAATGTAGATATTAAGACAGTCTGACCTCGTTCAGTTTCAAGATTCCACTTATTTTATCCTTCAGCGGCTTTTCACAGAAAAAAAATATTGTCACACTCTGACACTTTGCGACCTAAACGGGAGAGTAATAGCTGACAATAATTGACTGACCCGAATTTGAATTTCCTATGTTAGCAATATTTCCCAAAAAAATAAAGTGCACTTTTGCCATAAATTGAAATAAAATTATTTTAACAAGCATGAGTAGTTAGGTGAATCGTGCCCTTATTTGGGCCTTTTAAAGGGAGTCTTACTCACAACCATATAAAAATCTAAAAATCCCGCTCCTTCCCCAAAGGAAAATCAATTGTCCCGCCTCTATTGATAATATTATAAACCGTTGGATCAAAGCGCAATTTTCCATGCGCGCTCTAGCAATCAATACTCTCATGGAACTTCCATGGAAGACCACAGAGGGCTGTACAAGCCAGTGTTTAAACTCGTGGGGATGTGGGTAACTAGTTCGTATGCGTTTCAGTGGATTTTTGCTTATTTGCACAAAATGCACAACAAATTTGCAGTTGAAAAGTGGGCAATTTGCGATAAATTAAGCTGACGTTTTGGCAACGTTTTGCCAAAGTCTTCAGACGCGGTTAAATCCCCTTAACCTGGGACTGGAAGTAATTAGCTTTTAAAACTACGAAACGAATCAATCTTAGTTTTTTGGAGCACTTGGCTTGTTTCAACTAAGGAGCGCATTTTATTAAAAACCTCTTCTCTGAGGAAAGCTGAAAGGAGTTCAGGTTAATTTAACTAAGCCGGAAGCTTTTGTTGGGAAAAGATCACAGAAATGATGAAACGAAGCCTTGGTGTATTCTGCAGGTTAATTTCAGCTAATTAATTGCATACATACTGTGAGAGCGAATGCACGTTGCATCGCCTCAAGGCATACATAAAGGAACATTAGAGATCAAGAACATGCAGCGAAACTCCCTTAGGGCGCCAGTGGAGGATGGACAATTAATTGTTCAACGTTTACAGTTGCTAATCGCAAATTTGGCAATTTATGGTCAGCTGAAGCTGATTTGAATGCTAATTTAATTAATTTGAACGAAAATAATTGCAAATATCTGTAGATTGGTTGAAGAGTAAACACTGATTCAACAGAAACAATAGCAACTTTTCTAAAAAGCCTCATGTTTAATAATCGAAATAGTAAACATATCGAATCCGGGCCGAATCATTTCATTTTGGCGTCACAAAAAACAACTAATTATAGTTCGGCCGGCTGTTTGTTCATTTTCAATTTACACAGCAATCATTTACGTTTTCCCCAAATATTCCAGTGAAACTGGGTTTGAAATTCTTGATCGATTTACTCGATAAATCATATTTATCGGAAAAAATCGTCGTTTTTTGGCACCGAAGCTTCAAGGAAATTTGAAAAATCATTAAAATTGTCTCTCTGTAAACTATTCATCTAGACCATCGCAAACGCAAAATAGAATGCATGCTTCCATCATCCAAATGCACCGTTTAACTTTTGTTTTGTCCCAGTTTTGAAGCTTTTCCTGCTGGATGAGATAATAATAAAGCGATCGCTTTTGTTCTGTATGTGGCACATTTTCGCTGCAAAAGTTCCGGGAAAAATGTGAACAGTCCGTTACAAAGTTCCAAGTCGTGTTCATGCTATTTGCCTCGAGACATCCATCCGGTTATTGTTTGTGCATGTTTTAAATGGCACTGGTGGAACGTAATTAAAGGGAAACGCCCTGGGAATCAACCGTCTACTCTCTATGTGATATTGTTAATAAAATAGTACAGAATTAGCCCTCAAGAACACATCTGTAGTCCCGTGCTATATTTTACCAGAAATTTATTCTGTCTCTTTTACAAACTCCTTTAGGAAACTAGCAGTTGAGGGTTGGCTGACTTGTGCTTTCGTGGCTGGAAAGCTTTTGTGAAGTCCCATTTTGCAAAATTTCCCAAATCAGGCGAAACCTACCGCCTGACTCAAACTTTGCGGTATTCTAGGGCTGGGTTTTGGCTACTCAAAGATGGC